GCCGCCGCCGGGCCGGGTCTCGTCCCGCCCCGCCGCTGCCATCGCTGGGGCCACCGCGCACCACGGCGCTGGAGGCTCTGAGCCCCGGGCCAGGTGCCTGCGGCTGCCGCTCTCGCGCTGCCCCCCTGCGCCTGCCTTTGTTCAAGGTGTCGCCTGGGGCGGGGGCCGGGGCCGCCCCTGCTTCTTTTTCCCGTCTGGAAAGTGCCTTTTATTTATTGCTTATTTGTACAGTTCGCACGAGCCCCCTAGGACGCGCTTGCAGCTGTCAGGTCGCCCCCCCCCCATCCCTCTGGCCGCGTGTGCAGGAGGGGTCTGGCCCGGGATGCTCCCCAGGGTCCCTGCAACACTCCCTGGAGGGTGCGGCCTGCGTAAGCATGTGACAGACCCTGGCCAAGCGTCCCAATCCCTGGTGTCAGATCCATTCCAACCTGCTCTGGTCTTCTCAAGGCACAGATGAATTTCTGCATTATTTTTGTCACAGTGGAGAAATGAGCGAAAGCCGAGACCTGGCATTTTTTGAGGGGGGCTTAAGTCTAAAATGGTTGAGAAGCGTGAATCTAGGCGTGATTCTTCCAGTCCACTTTTGCCAGCAGGCAACTCAAAAACAGCTAAACGCAAGCAAGGTAAAAACATTGAGTCCTCACAGGAGTCAGCAATGAAAACAAGGTTGAATTGAAAATGCTGTAGTAATTTTTAGTAAACACTTGAGTTTGCCTGGTCTGTAATTCTTGGCCCACTAATTTGCTTGGGTGCACGGTGAGTACTGTGGAAGTAGCCAGTTGCCCGCCAAGAATGATGGGGGTGGGGTGGGTGGGGAGCGGGCAGGGATGGAGCCCTATGCCCCCCGCTCCACCCGTTGCTTGGGATCTGACCTGCTCCCCTCCTCCCCACCACTGTGGCAGGGGGAGAGGAAGAATAGGCCCAGGCTTGATGCAGGGGACGACCGTCCCGAGGGTGGGGAGAAGCCAGACTGCCGCAGCGGGGACAGGGGAGCAGCGGGCCCCAGGTCGACACGGGGGATGGGGTCCACTCCCCCCACAGCTGCTGCCGCAGTGCACCCACTCCTCCGCTCCCTCCCCGTCAGGTCCACTTCCCCACACCACCACTGTGTTGGCCGTGCAGGCAGCGACGACAGAAGGGGGCAGGGGTGGGCCGAGGCCAGCGCCTGTGGCCTCACTCCCCCATGGTGTCCCGACCCTGTTCCCTCTGCGCACCGCCACCGCCATCACCTCCAAGGAGCAAGGTGGGAGGCGGGTGAGGCCAGCTCTGGTGGCCTTGTCCCCTCCCCTCCACTCCACTGTCACCACCTGCAGCGCTGCTGGCCTTGGCTCCCCTACCCCCTGTCCAGTCCTCCACGCCGCTTGCAGGGAGTGGGGTGGGGGAGCCAAGGCCAGTGCTGCTGGCCACAGCTCCCTCACCCTGACTGGTCCTCAGCCAGCCTCAGAATCATGGCAGGGCTCCCCGCACTTGGAGCACTCTGATTGGCTGTTTCCATCAGCCAATCAGAAAGCACATAAAGTGTTATGGACAGACAGACTTAGGCTTTTATAATATTAGAATGTTGGGCCCATGCTGAAATGACTTACTATGCGTGTGCCCTGAGACTGCAGTGGGAAATAGTACGAGAACAGATAAATATGTGAGGATCCTTTAGTCCAGTACTTCTGAACCTATGGGTCACGACTCAGAAGTGGGCCGCAAGAATATTATGAAAGGGTCGCAAACAAACTTTAAAAATGGATTTTCCTTTAAAGGAGAAAAACATAGGAAAAAGTGGCTGTTCCCCTGCAGGCTGTCAGACTTCCAGCCAGTAAGGGGCTGCCTTGGGCTCCCCATGCCCCACAACCCCCCCTGCCCAACACACCCACCCATATACATTGTGGGGCTGGGGCTTGGGGGCAGGGAGTGAGAAACACTGGGTCAGGACTGGCTATCAAAAAATGGGTCCTGGGACAAAAAAAGGCTGAGAACCACTTAGTTCACAGATGGGCAAAATACAGCCCATGGGCCAGATCTGGCTGGCCAGGTATTTTCATCCAGCCTGTGATGCCCCACAACAAGTTGTGCCCTGCCCAGCCCTTCCC